ACACAGGTGCAGTAGGTTAAAATGCTCTCTATAGTACAGCGGTAGAAGGTCACCAGCAGTTATATAAAGGCTGTGGAGATGTGCATGTGGGTTCCTTTGGCTAATGTGCCCTGCTATTGCCCAGAGAACTGGCAATCAGTCTAGATCTCAGTTTGAGTGTCTTCGCTAATTCTCATCCTTTTTTGTTTTCAGGAAAGAAGTGAGCTCCCTGCAAAATAACCTGTTTGCTGCAGTTTAAGTGTACTGTCTTTGCAGTCTTCTGAGATAATATCTGTTCTTTATTCATGCAGTTGTAAATAAGGCAAAGATGCTGTCAGCTGGTGTGGCAGAAGCAGTACTGAAATTTCTCAGATCCGAAATGCCTCCTGTTCAGTTCAAGCTGCTGGGCACGTTAAGAATGCTAATAGATGCGCAAGGTAAAATAAGCTGCTTTCTTTGTTGAACTTTTGATCAGTTGCTAATTTTTTTTTCAGGAAAAGAAAAGAATTTAAAGAAAATCCTTCAAATAAACTGAATACATATGCAAAAGGAGGACAGTGAATGAACTGCTTCAAAGCCCAGTGTTGTGTATAGCCCAACATTTAAAGGCTTGATTCATCTGTAGATTGCAATCCACTTTTAACAATTGTATGTCATGGAATATATATATATATATATCATATATGCCAATCATGATATGTTTCTACAAAACTATCCTTTTGTCTTAAATATCTTAGCAAAATTGTGGTTTCTTTAATCACAACATAATGATTTGAACTCCAACAAGTAATAGATACAGAGTTCTATAACATTTCTGTCTTTGGGGTAGTATTAGTGTTAGCTGTTAGTGACAACATAGATAAATTTTCTCCAGAACAATCTGTCACATCTTCCAATGGTCCAAAATGGTCCCATACTCACAAGTAAGACTTGTAAGATGTCAGTGTTCTTGCGGGCTTTCAGCTGAGAATACCAAACTCTCATGAGATAGTTGCCATTTTTCAATTTTAATTTAGAAGAGGGGTACATACAGCATGATTTTGTGGTTTGAAAAGATTGCCAGGTCAGTTCTTCTCTGTCAACAGTTTAACTCCTTCACAAAAAAGTGGTTAGGTTACTGGACTTTGAAACTAGGCTAAGATTCTACATATAACCTCAGACCAGATTCAACATCCCTTGGCTTAGAAGCTGAGCTCCTTTTGTTTCCAAGCATCACCTAACAATTTAAAGCCTTTTTGTGTGTGCGTGCCTTTGAGTCAGTGTTGACTCCTGGTGACTGCCTGGACAAGTCCTTGCAGTTTTTTTGGCAAGATTTCAGAAATGGTTTGCCATTGCCTACTTCCTAGGGCAGAGAGAGAGTGACTGGCCCAAGGTCACCCAACCAGCTTTGTACCTGAGGTGGGACTAGAACTCATCGTCTCCCAGTTTCTAGCCTGATGCTTTAACTACTGCACCAAACTGGCTCTCAGTAAAGCCATTAAAGGACAGTATATTTGTCTATGGTTATGGTTATGTGGGTATACAATTCTGTAATGGCTGTGAGAATAACTTTGAGGAACAAGAGGAAGACATGCAGCCAGGACAATGGTTGAATAAAAGAAATTTGAGTCCAAAGCAAATTTGAAAAAATGTCTCAGACCTGACCCTCCCTAGTTCTCTTATAGAGAAAGGCAGGGAGGGGGAGGTGCTTTCGGACTTGCAAGATTATGTTACCGTAACCTTATAATAAAAGCAGTATTAGTATTCTTAAGTTCGGTTTCCTAGTCTGGTCTACCTCGCAATCTTGCAAGTCTGCAACTGCCTTCCCCTTCCCTGCCTCCTGTTCCTCAAGGTTATTCTCACAGCCCATTACAAATTCCCTCAAAAGAGTGTACTTTGCAGTGTGCAGAAGTGCATCCAAAGCCCCTCTCTTTGAATCAGTAAAGCAGCCAAATTTCTATAGCTAAATACACCAACTCTTTTTAGAAAAGAGTTCTCATTTTAGAAAACAGGTGAATACTACTACTTTCAAGTGCTTCCTTATATTTAAAAAAGAAACCCCGTAAGCAGCATCTCAAGGGGGGGAAAAGGCTCTTCCTGTTTATTTTCCTTTTAAAATTAATGCTGTCTTTGTAATACATGCAGCAGAAGCTGCCGAGCAGTTGGGAAAGAATGTGAAGCTGGTTGAAAGGCTGGTGGAATGGTGTGAAGCCAAGGATCATGCAGGGGTGATGGGAGAATCCAACAGACTACTCTCTGCTCTTATACGACACAGCAAGTCCAAAGTAAGTGACTGCTTGAGGTTTCCTTACTTAACAGCCTGATGCCTGTACTGTGCTCCCTGTTTTAATAACTTGACTGATGCTCTCCTCTTGGTTTATATCAAGGATGCATAACATTTTTTGAGCAAAGAGGTGCTTTTGGCTTTGAGTGACACGCAGAGGGAAGAGGAATGTTCTGCTTATGACAACTGATAAAGAAACGAGCTCTCGTATATTATCTGATCCATGGAATTGGTCCAGACCAAGCCAATTATCTCTTGAGAGTAGGAAAAGGGAGTCCTCCGCTATAGCCATCACCTACCCATTCTCTTCTCCCTAGAACAGAAGAGTGTCGCTGCTTTCAGTAATGTTTTTGAACTTCTCTCATGTTTTGCATACAAAAACCCTCTTTCGTATATGGACTCTGTTGATTAAAGTTAAGATGCAAGACTAATTCTGGGGATAAATTCTCAAAGTGTGTAACTAACTGTATTTATAGCTTCTCTTAGGAAGATAACAAGTAACAGGGTTCCAGATTCTTGTTTGTGTTGCCTACAAAATACTGTAGCATAATTCTTTTGAGCACTCTGGAATTAATCTTAACATCTTGTAATGGATTCATTGTTGGATTCCCTAGACATTGGTTTTCATTTTATTTGGAGTCAAATTATACAGTCTACTTTAAATGCAAAGGTGGTGACATCAGAGATACAGAAAGATGCATATATCATCAGCAGAGTGGCAGATATATATTTTGTATCTATAGCAATAGTTGAGGCAGAATATCACCTGGCCCACAACATAAACAGTCCATTATTGTTGCTCTGTTCACTATTTAAGTCAGTGTCTCATTACTTACTTAAAATCTTAAACTTTAAGGATATTTTTATGAATGAGTGATCAAGCAGTTTTCTTAGGCAAGGCAAACAAGCACTATAAGCTTGACAGGAAAAAAAAATACATCTGTGTCCTTTCCCTGGATTGATGCAAATGGTTGCTTGTTGTGTGGTATATGTGCATTGAATGCTTTCATCTCCCATAATCGAGAGATGGCACTTGTTAAAATTAATCTGGCAACATATCCAGACTGTAGGCAAGCTGATTCCATGAGATGTAGCTATAGCTGTCTACTAATGGTCAGCGTAGAATAGAGTAAAGCAGCCTAACAAAAGGAGCACCTGTGGGCATGGGCATCTTTTCCAATATTCAGTGGCAAAGGCTATTAGTAACACTCATTTCATTTCTAGAAGCAGTTTATGATAATCAGTATAACAAACCAAAAAAATAGAGGGAAGAATTAGCAAATTGGCCTGTTTTATTTATCTGTAAAGCACTGCAATCTTTCTTCATATTCTGTGTTACTTTTTTTTTTTAAGGATGTAATTAGGACCATTGTTCAGAGTGGTGGCATTAAACACTTAGTTACCATGGCAACTAGTGAACATGTAATAATGCAGAATGAAGCTCTCGTTGCTCTGGCATTAATAGCAGCTCTAGAATTAGGTGAGTATTCCAATGGTTAATGCTTCCTAAATTATCTCATCTTCAATGATAGAGGACTAATTCATGCTAAATCATGATATTGTGTCACTAAGAAGCATGCACGCATGTATGGCAATGGGTGGGAAGATATGGCCCCATACATGGTTTTAAATCCTTCCTAGGATTTATCTTCCACTCCTCCAATCGTCATCAGGGCCCTTCTTTGAACCTGTCTCAGCTTCTCTAAATTTTTCTTAAAAACATGTGCCAAGAACTTTACAGAGTAATCAAGGTAGAGTCTGACCAGTATGGAATATAATAAAATTATTGTAATCTGTTGATTTAATCCAAAATTTCAGTTGCCTTTTCATCAGTCATTTCAAACTGCTAAGTTATGTGATGAGCTACAGTTCCAAGATCTTCATGTGCTGTTACTAAGCCAGGTGTTGCCCATTTCTATTCCTGTATATTTTATTTCTTTTTCCCAAGCATAGAACTGTGTATTTGTCTCTATTTAATCTCATCCTGTTCTTGTCAGCCCAGATCTCCAGCCTATCAAGATCACTTTGAATTTGTTTTCTGTCATTTCAAGTCTTAACAGTCACTCTGTTGAAGAACACAGATCCCAGCAAAATAGAAACAAAGTCATAAATATTTACAGAAGAGGAAATACATATTTCCATAGAGTTATTTTATCATTTATAATGAGATAAAAACTGCAGTAAAATTGTTAATTCTTATTACCTTTACAGTAACATTATGTTTAAGCAGGTAATGAGAGTTGAAGCAGCAGTGTCGGATATGCATGTCAAAATCTGCAAGACGGGCAGAGTATCATGATGCATGCCCTGCCCCTTTTGTACATGTGTTGCACACATTCAAAATGTGGGGCTTGTATTGACATTATATTCCCTAATAATGAGACAGCTAACTAGTGCAAAATATATATATTTTTTAAAAATTGGCTCCTAAGCCCTAACTTTTTAGAGGCTTCTCCAATCTTGGACTCCATGAAATGCTTTGATTAAGATCCTCAGTTCCTTTTGCCTCCATGTGCTCAGCTGGAGACCAGCTGCTTCAATTTCTCTTTGCCAATTTGGGGAAGAGAGTTTTGTTCCACCTGGCCTATTTCTGTGTATCATGGGTTGAAAAGCACTGCTCTAAAAAGTGAGCTATCCAACCCAGTGTTGCATCATCTGCAAATTCAAGTTCAGTAAGCATTTCTTTCACCTCATTCTCCAATTCATTGCTAAAAATGAACCCGAGACAATCCTGTGGTAGCTATCTTTCTCCAATTTAATAAGGAACGGATGAAGTAGTTTCAAGTACTATGAGTACATTTTCCTAGCCAGTTGTGAAGCCATCTAATAATATATGCCATCCAATCCATACTTAAATAACTTGTTAATCAGGATATCATGCCCCCTCTCAACACACATACACTAAATTGCAGAAAGCAAGCCATCTATCTAATTTACAGTTCTTCTCTGTTTGGATTCACAGCCACAGCAGAGAAGGATCTTGAAAGTGCTCAGTTAGTGCAGATTCTACACCGGCTCTTATCAGATGAGAGGAGTGCACCAGAAATCAAGTACAATTCCATGGTGCTGATCTGTGCACTTATGGGGTCAGGTGAGTTTCCTAAAGTTTTGTTTCAGATCAGATCAGAAAAGTCTAACAGCAAGAATGTGTACATAGGACTGCACACATAAACCAGGATATACCTTTTGTCAAATTGAGGGTAGTGGCGGTTTCTGTGACAGCTTAAATTTTGTTAAAGTGTATTTGAATTGAAACTGCAACAGTAAGGATACTAACCTGGAATTAAACTCCACTGGAATTAAACCCCATATGTAAAGTTCTCTATATATTTATCCAGAAATCTTACTTTAAAAAAAATTTTTTTTTTAAATCTTCTCCAGGCAAAACTTCTCCAGGACTAGAAACCTAACACATTGGGGGGAAATGTACCAGTGTTGTCCTTGTACATTTTTTTTACCTGCAGAAAACACCTGTAGCATGACATTAAATATCATGTTACCATCTTAAGTTTCCACCACTATATTCCATTGCATGTGTAAACCATTAAACAATTATGACTAAATTTAACTGGATTGGAGCTAACTTCGAATGCTGGTTTCGATAACCATTTGTATCCCAAAGAGACAGTGTAATGTGACAGCTGATCCATATAAATTCCAGATGTCACTATCTTCCACTGAATTCATTACAAAATAAAAACATGAAAACAGTGAAAGAGATTTGTAGGTCAGTAAAAATGTATCGTTTAAGAAAACCACATTTTGCGTCCAATTCTTGACATGGAAGAACACCTTTCTAAAGGCCATTGCCACTTACTATAGACAGAGAAAGATGACAAAGAAATAGTCAAATGTTAAGCTTGTCGTGTCTGAACAGAAGACAAAAATGAAATATTCTGTGGGTTAATCACACTCCAGCTATTTAAAAAATATGGATATTTTAAAATATGTGATAATAATTCATACCATGCAGAAAAATATTTTTGATTTTTTCCTATCACTTCACATACATTTGTTTTTGAAATTTGTTGCAAAGGAGACAAGGACATTCTAAGCATTTTATTAAAAGTTGGCTAAGGAAAATGTGTTAATTTCTTGTCTTCCATTTTACCATCATCTCACTAGTAGTCTGTAACCTCCGTGGCTTCCCACATTTTCCCATTAGGCATTTTCAGACTGGAAAATGTAGGTAGCCCCAAAAACTAGAGATATACCACCTCTAACAGTCAAACTCCAAAACACCAAGAGAAATTGAAAGAAATGCTCAAGACTTCTAGGAATAAAGATTTCAGCGCAGGATTATTGACAATTATCTTTCTAAATCTACTTATCTGATGCTATTTCTGTGGTAGCAAGGAATTGCAAACTAGTCGTAAACTGCCCATGTATTGGAGGAGACTGCCATCCTGTGTGCAGTTGCATGTAACACCTGGATCTAGTAAAAATTTCTGGTGAAGAAGCAACATAGGGCTGAAACAGAGCAGTCACTTAAATTTTAAAAGCCCCTCTCCCCCCACCCCCACACCACATTGTCAGCTTCACTTTTTCTTTCATATGGATGAAATTAGAACTTTTTTTCCTAGCAGGACTTTTCTAAGCCTGCAGCTTTCATGGCATGCAGTCCAGGAAGGAAGATGTGTCTCCTTACTCTCTCCATAAAATGGACAGATATTATCTTGACCTACCACCCTTTTGCCAAAATTCTTAGCAGAGTTCTTTTTCTGTTACTTTTGTAATATCACATGTGTATCTTTAGAAACACATACAGAGAATTATAGCCAATCTCTCAGTCCAGGAAAATGTGTTGATTTCTACAGCTGCTGCAGCTAGTTATTCTTTTGGGCTAAAGGATTCAGTGGTGAAGGTGCTACTGCCTCTGCTGTTGTTCCCAATAGGCTCCTTGGGTTCAAAAAAGATAATAGTAATGGTAAACATAGCATCAAATAATGAGGAGGAAGTGGGGCATTCAGTTTGTAGTCCTTGCAATCAATGCTGCATATTAAGTTCTTCATGTAGCAAAGTCAAACTGGTTTGCTGCTAGAACCCATTGAGACTGTCGAAGGAACACCTGCAGTGAATATTGAACTGTCCTGAGAATAGGAGGCATGTCTTGATGTGGACAAATAGCCTAGACTAGAAAAAAAGTTTCCATTCAACTCTTTGGTAAACCAAAAGGCCTTTGAGTCTAGGCTGGTTTCCTTCCTCCCATGATGACACAGGAGAGAATAAGTATATAGAGGCTGATTGGAAAAGGTGAATATGAAGTCTGGTAGGAAATCAAGAGTCAAAAGGAGAACAGGGGGAGCAGGAATTACAGGGGGGTGTAAAGTTGACTCCAATCCAACCATTCCATACATTCCAGTCAAAGTGAAGTCTCCACCTAAAGCCATGTTATTTTCCTGGCAATAATTTGGAAAGTCAGGCATACAGACCTGGGATTGTCTGATGGTCTTTCATCCAAGCAGTAACCAAGTTTCACCCTACTTAACTTTTTCAGATCAGCCAGGGGTGGCTAGGAGCTGCTCCATGGTTGACATATAGTTTTGACTTGCAAAAGTACAGGTACACATAAATCTGATGCTGCAGAAGGGTAGGCTTATTTTATGCCCTGGTTTGACTAGATTATCCTGTTTTTGAGCACTGGTCTAGACAGCCTGGTTGCTTCCCAAAAAAGTCCCAGAAAGGAGGGCTATTCAGACCAGAGAGCTCAGGTCACGTGTTCCAACTTGCTGCTCCTCTGTCTGCAGAGGCTAAAGGAGGAGCAAGTTCAAATGGCTAAACCTGCCTTCTCCCTTTGTAGGTCTTACACAGGCAAAGGGGGAACATGTTTTGAAAGAGGGGAGAAGCCCACACTCTGTGCTTTTATCTGTGCAGGCTGCTGATAATCAAACTTGACCCTTGGTGATTTCATGGTTGCATCCATTTACTTTTCTTGGCAACAATAAAGAAATGGTTTGCCATTGCCTTTCTTCTAGAATGATTTTGTGTCATGTGACCTACAGCCCTGAGATACACTGATATACCCTGCTTAGCTTTTTTCAAGATCAGTCAAGATCAACTTAGTGTTTTCCCCAGCATTGTGGAAGAGCAGACAACATTTACTTAACAGCCTTGTTTCAGCTATGATGGTCAAGATTTACCAGCTAGTATCAACATCCATTTAATTTTAGGTATAGACTACAGCATGGATGCTAGATCCCCTTTTTCCAGCAAAGAATGTGTTCTTCAGCAAAATAATCTGTGAGAAGGCAAGTTGACCTGCTGACCATTCCTTGCAACCTTCAAAGTTTTCAACTGAGCATAATATAAAAGCTCTATTTGCACAACACACTAAATTGAAAATGTAAAGAGCATGTTTATGCCATTTTATCCTCTGCTCTTTGCAGATCTTTAACCGAGCTTTCAGCTTTCTGTGTCATCCAGTCTGATGCATTTTAAGTTTCCAATACCCACTATTTGTTAACTTACAATTAAGCTTGGTCCCAATTTCTGGAAATCCCATATGATGGCTATTTTAACTTCAAACCTTAAAGATGCCTGGTGGAGAAAATGTGGCATATATATACTCATTAACTGAGCTTTTTATCCTAGTCTGTCATACAAACATAGCCAGCATATGAAAATTGTGTCTCCGTGGCTAAATGCATCTGAAATTAGCACAATACAGGCTACATTTTCTCGACACAGCAGCTCAGAACACCTGCTCTATATTGTATGGCAAGGCTGGTTGGGAAAACTGAAGCGCACGCATCAAGAAGATACCAGCTTTGGTGGAGTCTGATACAGGCTAAAGGAAGAGACTAAGAAATGGGTTTTGTTTTTTCTCTCTTCCAGCAATAGCTTCTACAACACAAGCTTGTATACATTCTTAGTAGGCTTCTGGAATGGAACAGTTTCTTCTTTCCCAGATGTCCTTTGTACATTATACAGGCTGAATGTTTACTCCCCCGTCTCTATACAATTTAAGGAATGGAAAGAGCAATCTGCACTGCTTGAAAGACACCACTTACTGCTCCCTCCCGTTTTCCCTACCAGCCAAGTTGTGCCTTGATAATGTCTGCATTCATTTCAGCTTCGTAGAAAATGCAGACAAAAGAGCAGATGTTCCCAGAAAGGCCCAGCAGGGAAGTAACCGTCTTACCTCTGTTTGACAGAACCCCTTCACAAGGAAGTGCAAAGCCTGACTTTCCTAGAAGTCGTATCCAAACTCCGCAGCCACGAGAACAAAACGGTCGCCCAGCAGGCTTCCCTCACAGAGCAGAGACTCGCTGTGGAAAGCTGAGGAAGGGGGCACCAATTCCACATCGCATCATGTCACTGATCTCACCTCTTGTCCTGTCCTGCTGCTGTTACTCCTGCCATGTTTTTCCCACTGTGTCACTTATGCATGCCTGTAACATCCCCACACCGCACTGTTGTAGGTACCTCTCTAAATAAGATTTCTAAAACACCCATAGCCAATTGTCATAGGATCTTGTCTCTCTCTTCTCCACACAGCAGACGCATACATGCAATCTGTAGCCCTGTTGTCGTTCTCCTTGTATTCTTGTTGCTTGGGCCACATAATAGAATGTGCATGTTGTAGTCCTATAATAATGTAAAAGTGGTACAACCGTGATGACACCTCCCCTCAGGCTCCCTACTTCCTCAGTAGAGGCAGCAAGACTGTTGAGATGAGGTTTGGGGGCACACCTCTCTTTTTGCTGCTTTAGTTACAAAAGAGGGAAGAGGAAAGGAAGTCTTGCTGCTCATTCACTGGTCTTGCCTACTAATGTCAATCCCATGGTACCTAGAGATAAACCAATAAAATCCAGTGCTCTCACACTTTTCCCTGTGGTTTGTCTTTGTATACTGGTTTATTTTCTTGGAGCCTTTCAAAACTAGCTTTATGTTGTGGTAAGCCCTACCAGTAGGGTACGCGCATCCTAAATCAGAAGAACTGTAGCCTACTTCTTTGTCCCATGCTAATGGGATCGGAGTTTAAACAGAGGAAATACCACCATTTTCTTTATAGAACTTCCATTTTTCCCTCTTCCCACACCTTGCCTTTCTTGCTCTTGTTCTGACACTACACAAATGCAGAAACCGGGGATTGTTTGCAAGCTTTTGAGATGAGGAGGCTGAAGTCTCTCAGTTGCCCATCATTTTAAATCACTTTAGACTAATCCAAGCATCAGGCACTTGCTTTGAGTGCTGCAGCCTCAGGTTAGACATTAACCTCAGGTTGGGGTTAAAGCAGCTTTAAATGGAGCTCCATGTGTCACAAAAATCCTGGACCTGCCATTCTCCATCCTTGCTTTCATTTGGAGAGAAGATAGTATTTTCTAATCAAAGTATTTCCCTCAATGTTCTCTTAAGACAGTTTCAGCCTGAGATGCCTCTACCATATAAGCATGCCCTTGTTTCAGTCAGCTGTGTTTCATTTTCTCTCACGCAAAACAGTCATAAACTAGAAAAGGAAGGAGCCCACAATAATGTAGAATTGCCTATTTTCTGGAAAAAAAGGTTATGTAGAGACGCAAGATTGAAGATTACGTACATCCATTTGATCCTTTACATTACTTTATACCTAGCATGACATGCGGTTGCAATTTACCCTAAAACAATGTAGCTAATGAGCATGTGTACACCATTGTGTCCACATGTTCCATAGTACATGAGTCTTTAAACAAAGTATTTATCTGTAACCACAGCAAGTGTCATCTAGACTTTAAAGAACTCAGAATTTAATATGACAAGCCTTAGTTTCAAATTCAGGATTCTGTAAGCCCCAAGTGACGTAAAATCATCCTGGGACTTTGGTTAAAAAGTCAGCTACAAGAGGAAGCAGGGATTAAGTCAGTAGTATGTGTATTTGTTAAACAGAGTATTTGTGTTCGTGTGAACATGCTGAACCAATCTTCACCTGAGATTAAGAGGCAAAATATTGATTTCAGCAGAAGATCCCAGATCCTGCAGAGAGGCATGCACAGCCAATAGGTTTTATCAAAGCATCCTTAATTGCTTTTTCACATATGCAACAGCGCTTTTTGCAGTCATCTATAAAATGGTGAGGATACCTTCACTGACTTTTTCTGCCCCCCAATCACTTTGGTTTGACAGAGATGCTGTAGCAAGAATATACAGGCACAATTACAAAATCTGAAACCTGACCAGGTGTCCTTTTCTGGAGTGCTTTTAAAACGTTAGGGATTTATGGAAGAATGAGGAGCAATTATACTTCCTAAACTGCCTTAATTCTGCACCAAGGATAACTTAATTCTTACCTTCAATTTATCTGGTTTCCAAGTTTTCAACAGGCATATTCTATATTTTCTTTTGCCTATTTATACAATAGATACCCAAACAAGTAGGTGATCTGACACCTTCCAAATGTTTTGAACTTCAGTTCTTGTACGTCTCAGCCAACAAAGGCATTAACCAAGAATTCTGGAAGTTCTGATCCAAAACATCTAAATGGAACATCTTTGTACTTACTGCAAATGAAAACAAAGATTCTCGGAGGTAAATTATGTAGCTTTTTCTTTGCAATGGGATAATATCACATACAGGCGCATACCCATCAGAGAGTAATTCACCATAAATACAATATTTTATCACATTCCATTTCAGCATCTGTTTATTTTCCCACACACCCAGTGAAACATTTAAGTGAAACTTTTATATATGCAAGAACAAAGCACAGAGCCAAAGTGTCACTCCATTTTATTTGTAAAACTAATCATACTAACAAATTGCATATAAAATGATTTATTTCAAGTAAAAGACAGAATACTGCACAACTAGTAAAACTATGTTCATAAATGTATTAAAACATTCTGAAAATTTGCTTCTATTAAAAAAAAAAAAAGGAGCATGATGTATCTCACTTTCAATACCTTAAAAACTAACACAAAAAGTTGTGTTAATTTCATGTAAAAGTTTAATTTCATCCACTGAAATCTGCATGGGCTGCAATATACCCTATTCTAGTGTGAAAGAAATGATAAATTAGGTCAAATATATCCACTTCTAGATCAAATGTGAGCAAGTGGCAGTGAGATGACAAAATCTCAGTCAAACTGTACAGGCATGCAGTTTCCTTGTAACAATACTTTCCATTATCAGTAAGTATAATTGGCATTTACAATCAATTCAGCAATGTACAAGGCTTTCAACACAGGTAAAATACATTCATATACAGTAAAAAGGGTAGGGGGAACCACAATGGTAACTACAGTGATTGCCTTCATTATGACATGCAATGGTTTAGAAAAAACAGGTTGGAAGTTAATTCAGCATGTCTAAATCTAAGTTAGAAAGCCACTTTCCCAATCTTCTGAGAGTAAACAGAACACTTGTTTCAGGTCAACCTGCTAGATGGGCACTGCAGGTCTAGCTTATATTGTCGTTCACACGCTGAATTACCTGTTCAACCATGGTGCCTCTGGAAAGGTTGGAAAGAAATTCTGTGAGTTTAAAGTCCAGGGTGACTCGCTGGCAAAGGCTGTTTTACATTTTCATCTAAATCCATTGGATAGGACTGATTTAGAGATTTAGAATGTTTCCTGGGTGGGCCTTTCTGCAGTTTTTGCTCTGTTTCACTGCACAGAAAAGCAACCCTAACATTCCCATTCAGATAAGGGGAATCTGGGACATCCTATACAATGCTTAAGAGTGCTTCTCTCCCCAAGACATATGCAATTAACTAAGAGGCATAAACGAGAAAGCAGTTATACAAGACAGAGGGCAGCACCAGCATTTACCCATACTGAAAACTCCATGTGTTCCCATTCATTGTGTAACTTACTGTGTTGGAACATAGGAACAGCATCTTCAACCTGGATTCAATGTCTGTAGAGGGCCTGAAATTTTCCTACAGTGTTCAGGAGAGGGAACCTCAAGCCTACAGTCTGGCCATAGGTGTTCATACATTCTCACCTAATTTAACATAATCCCACTGGGGAAAAAAGGGGGAAATGAGCTGTTTTGTTCCCAATCCATCTTCAGGTATAACACCTCATTCTCCTTTAGACTGTATCAAGTTCAGGAATTATTCTTCCACACAAAAGCTGAGGGAACAATTTTTGTAGAGTAGTCCATTATGAAATTCATTAGTATTTTTTTTAAAAAATGGACTGCAGAGGAAAGATATGGGCAGGATTTTGGAATAAAGATATCCTGCTCATAGATCTACCTGGAGATACATTGCACTGGATTTTGAAAATATGGTATATTTTCTACCTGTCTCTACATGAATCAAACAGGTTGCTTTCCCTGTGACTTTCTAAGTCATAAAATGCACATACAAGAGTTGTTTGTGTGCCAAAATAAGCCAAGACAGAAACATGAAAACACTGATAATGTACTCTACTTACACTTTATATAATAAAGACTGAGGGAGAGTTATAACATGCCTACAAGCATCAATAGTTGACACAGAACTATTGAAGAAGCTGAAATAGCATGTCTTCAAGACAAATCCACAACATAAGACTTAAGAAACTCTTTAGCAAGGGGGGGGGGGGGGGGTGTCTTACAGAACTAAGTTGTTTGTATCATCAATGGGCTTTCCTTCAAGGATAAAAGGCACGCAGTACAGCAACCCCAGCAAAATCTCATGTGGCCCAAGACAGATGTAAAATTTTAGGCCTCTCCTGTTTGAAAAGTGGATTTCTCTGTGCTGGACAAGAGTGTTAAAAGTGCAGAGAGAGTAAAAACACAACTGCAGCACCTTTAAATGCCACTCTATGGTTTTCAGGAAAGCAGCCATAGTGAAAAGCCAAAGCCTGGGAATAGGATCCATGTATACATGCTCTGTTAAGAGAGACAGCAGGTTTACTGAGACCATCTAACATATTTTCTCAAGTGTATCAGTAAGCAAGCAATTTAAGAGAAGATGCACCCTAAACATCCTCATTCACATGTTGGCTCTTCAGCTATCCTTTTTTGATAACAGATAGAGATCTATTTTCTGGGTTACCGGTTAAGAACAAAAACCACTGTATTTGTACCAGTTTACAGTTATAATCATGGCAAAAATGAAAATATTCAAAGCAGCTACTGAATTAAAGTAATAAAAACTATGAGAAATTCTTACTAATTTATCAAACTGAAGAAGTGCCCAGCAAACACTAGGTGGCAGGCTATTACAGGAGTTCAGGTTTCAATCAATAGATATGCAAAAATTTCATTTTTAAAATGGATGGAAGATTCCCATCTTTCATCTTTCTCAAAATAAATAGATATTTATATGTGTAAACTTGTGCAGGAATTATTCCGCTGGCATGCTATTATTTACAATTCCAGGATGTACACACAAATGGACCTCATAAAGGTTTTCTCACTGAAAGAAACAGGAATTGGCTTGAAGAATGATGAGAAACAAAGCAAAAGGAGATTCAGACAATGCATAAAACAGGAGCTAGAACATTTGAACCAAGATGGATTAGGCAACACAAGAAGATTTCTAGACACTGCGGTTACTTCAGCAAAAGCTCAGACCAATAATAAAGACCAAGAGTTCACAATTTTTCAGAAAAGGACTTTCAGAATTCTCTAGAAAAGCCATTCCAAGAAGTTGTTTCTGGGCTTCCTACATAAGACTAAGCCACTAGTATACAAATTGTCATGATGTGACGTGTAGGGAGGTCTAGCAGCAAGCAACACAATTTCTTTATAACAAAACAATTTATAATTAATGTGCAACTTGTTAGGCAGGCATGAAGCACAAACTTGCTTGACATGTGTACTGGAATCATTTGAAGCAGTTCTTTTGATTCTTCTTTTCCTTGCCAAAAACTACTATTTAACACAATTATTATAGTAGCAGTAAAAGAATGTGGAAAGAAAAGACATGAACAGCAGCTGGGAACTTTAACTTCTTAACATTTAAGCATTAACATTCAACATTAAGCATTTATATCCATCCTGACATATGCCAAAATTTACAAGGCTCAAAACCTGCAAAGCTCACTCTGGAGAGTTGTTGCCTTCAAGCATTTTCTGCACCCAAATACTTGAAGATGCATAATCCTGGCTGCTGGAAACTCTTACATTCCTTCTCCCCTCTCTGACAAGTGTCTAAAAACTCTGCTGTCACTCAATAGTGAATTCTCTTGCTGTTTAAAAACACCTTCATCCTTTCAAAAGGGAAAAGGGGCACCAAAAAACATGATGGACAGTCAAATACTGCACATCTGTTTAGTGACAATGACTGTTGCCCTTATCCCAGCTTCCTCATTTCGCCATCATTCACTATTTTACAGTGTGTCCTTACCGAGATCAGCTTATTTGAACTGAGAAAGCAGACTGTTACCCAAGTTTACCAATATATTGAGTTTTATTGTGGGGCTTGGTCTGCAAATTCCTTCTTGCAAACATGCTTATATGCACTGCTTTTTCCTTGTGACATTCAATATGAATTTGCAAAGAAAGCTAAAAAATAGCATTTCACACTCACTATACATATATAACTAGCACATATTTTATTACTTCAAAAAGTTCCACATTACAGTTGTAAAATTCCCCTGATGCAGAGACTGTAGCCTTTCAGTAGACAGGGCCTGTTAGTAATTAAATTCTATTTGCCAAATGAAGTCTGAGATTAACATTTAATAGTGGGTACTAGAGGTGCGTAAAACATTTCTAATTCAAAATGTTTTGAGCTAAAAGCACCTTGCTTTAAGCAGGATGTTTCATGCTTAAAACAGGGTTGTTTCTAGCTCTGACCATTTTTGGTAAGATATAACAATCTGTTTCTAGCTCAAAACATTTCAAATTCGAAATGTTTTGCATTATCTTTTGGAATGGGCATTTGCTATGAGAAAGTGAACTGGAAGGTCTCTCAAACAAATCCTGATTTTAAAAGCAAATGTGGAATTCTTGAAGAAATATGTGAATTATAATCATGTATAGGCAGATAGAAGGCAAATACATACCCAGTAATTAAAATTACATTATCTATTTGCAACAAGGGACAAGAGCAAGACAAAGTAAGGAGGGGATTATTTAAAAAAAAAACAGTTCCTGATTTCCTGCAGGATTCCAAGAAATAAACATGCTTTGTATGCAAACAATATGATTTCCATTTTTCACTTTCTATATAAAAAGGTTATTAAGCTTATTCATCACTGGGACCAAGAAGACAACCTCTTTATGTTGTACAGTAAGATATTTCAACAACTTGTACCAAAAGATAGAATGATATGCCTAACCATATAGCTTTGTTCCATTAATAAGGAAACCTTATCACTATAACATAGTGGTCTACAGTTATAAAAGTACATAAACTTGGTAATGGAAGAAAAAAATAACAGGAAAAGAGAAAGGAAAAAAAGAATTAAACATCTATAGCAGTATTATACCTAAGCAGAAACATGGAAATTCTTCAGAAATCCACAACAGCAGCAGAAAGAAGGAATGTTTATTCAGCACATGTTACATCAGCATCTTTTAATGTTTGGTTTCTGGAATGTTCTACAACTAAGCTATTCAAGTCCTGAAGCTTCAACAGAATTCATTCAGTTTTCATTTTTTAGGCTATACTTTTTGTTTCTTTCACTTAACCAATTCACCAACTAAAGCTAAGAGAATCAGTTCAGTGAATGAGGCTGACACAAACTTGCAGAGCTCTGCATTTGTAAATGATCCTCAGTTACCCACTCTAGGAGCCTGATCAAAGCTCAGTTACCTAGGCAAAAAGGTCACGTGAAGTCATACCAGATGCAACTGGAATGTTTAGCTCTTTGTACAAAATGGGAAACTTTGAACGAGACATCCAGGCCATCAACCCTCCTCTAAAATATACAGGTAAGCAAATCATCATGCATTTACTTGTCTTCCTTCTCAAATTAGGGCAGCATTCCCCAACCGGATGCCCATCAGTTGTGTTGGGAGTACATTTCCAGGATTCCCATTATGCCAGCTATGAGTTTGTTTTTCAAATTTATATATGCCGCCCATCTCACTATACAAGTTCTTGGAGTTCTAATCCCAACACATCTGATGACACCAGGTTGAGGAAGTTAGTGTTCCTAAATAGCTATTGCACACTAGTAGATCCTGAACATTTATCTTTTCCATGTTCCACTTCATCTAACAACACTTTTCAGTCACTGCCAAATATTGAAACGATTATACTCTCTCCACTACCAACCCTGGAAAAAAGAGCAGGATTAAGCCAAAATTCAAATCCTTGACAGCTAAATTGTTTTCTTTTCACAGAAGGCATCAAAATTGTCTTTTCCATTGGTACTTAAATATACATAAACACCTAAACCTAGATGCTCACACATTTACTAAGACTAACTCACAATAGTCTCACTGAAATACACAAACACACACACTATCGCTCTTCTGTCCAAATTTTACTCCTGCTTGAAAAATGAGGGAGAGAGACGTATTTCATTAAGGATTCTAGTTTAACTAGATAGAAAAGGAAATGCAGTGGCAACTGAATGGTAACGAAGCCACGTAATAAAACACAAAATTCAAATTGAAGAATGCAAATTGGCTGGCATTTCATTCACATTTGTTTGAACTGGAAGCCCACTCAAATCAGTTATCCAGCAAATCAAAAGGAGGAGCAATTTTAAAAGTTTGTAACAACTACATGAAGAGGGCATAAGAAGATATACTTAGAAAGGGTTATAATGGGACCAATAAGCATTTATCCTACTACATGAAGTAAAGCACAAGATATCAAAAACTGTTCCAAACGTATTTGTTTCTGTAGAATTCATTTTATCCATGAAATGTAAATACACTGTGCTTGTTTCTGCTTCTAAGTTCATCACATTTCTCAATCTCATCATCAAAACCCCCAGCACGAATGCCATCATCTCTTCATTTACATATTGCTAGTGACTAATATGGGTGGAGAATTCTCTCTATTGTAGGTCTTCCCTGAAGTTTGCTGATTACACAATTCCCTGTCCAGTGAAATAAAGATTGCAAGAGGCCGAAAAATAATTAAAGCTGTCAGTGTCTGACCGAGGGCATAATAGAACAGATACTAAATTTCTCGTGGAAGAGCGATGATTTCTTGCCAGGAAACAAAGCAGACAAGAAGTAGATAAGTAGTTGCCTCTTTCATGGGATTTCTTCCCAAAGAAACACTAGGTCTCTTGGCCTGTTCCAAGACATACCACTTCTTCAATGGCAGAAGGAAGTTGCCTCATTTGGGGGCTGCTGCAACACACAAAAGAAAAGGGTGCACCCACTTGAGGTTCCATTGACACAGACCATTTGCCACACACACAAAACGGAAGAAAGAAACATCCTCCAGTTTACTCAGTCAACGATACAGCAGAGATTCACGGCTCAGCACATTTCAGAGTGGAGTTTTTAATAGCATTCATCACAACCAGGTGACTGGAGCTGCTCCTTCTGGAATAAACAAAGGTGTGATGCTGTTCAAATCAGCTGAGAACTCAAAACTTCTCTGTCCCCCACTTTCATATAGCTCTGAGTCCATGGAATCCACATGGAGCCTTCCAAGAACTACGGTTACCCACAAGGTCTTGCATCGCTTATGTGAAGTGTTTTACCAGCTGGCTCGGACAGCTTCAATATCACTCACCAAGTTTTGAGCCAAGCATATCCCAAATATCTGGAAGAAAAGAAAGACAAGCGTTAAGCTGGAACCAGATTTCAAATGCAGAAATTTGGGTTAGCCAGATTGCACCCACCAAATGTAACACAATCGCTACCACTACCACACTGAATTTGAAATGGTTTTCCCTCTTTAAACTAAACATGTTTCACTCAGGTTTTCTGGGACATGACACACTAAGCCACAAACTAACCCTACTGGGTGAGTTTACACAACATGCTGGCCTCAAATACTGTATGGCTAGCCAGTTTGCAGTTGCGTGTGTTGTGCAAACACAATCACATTTACTGTGAAGTATGTTAATTATGTATTCCAGCGTGACATAATTGTGGCGGAGGAGACAATATGGGAGAGGGGAGCACATCAGAGTTGCTGTGGGAAGAGGAGCTCTGAAAATGCAGATAGAGGTGATATTTCAAATCCCAAGTTTTAAGAAAGGAAGTTGGATTTCAACAGTGCAGGCTTACAGAACATTCCAAGAACCTGGGGCAAAAAGTTTTCAAACTGCTATGAGTAAAGCTAGAAAACCAAATTGCAACTACTTACATAAGTTAAAAAGACATCTAAACTGGTCCTTCAGCTTGCTTTGGAACTCTACTAGAGAGACAGCCCCACTAGGTTTGGGGACATGAAAAGCAAGCAGCATCCGTTCCATCATAATTTGCAGCAAAACATTTATAATTTTCCTGGATTAATCAAGTTAACTACAGGTTGAAAGCAATGAAACCCCAAAGTACTCAATTTTCTTTTTTAAAAAATTAATAAATCAATTGCTCTATACATAGAGATTCAACTTTCATTTTACTCTATGAGGTCTCTCTTGAGTATAGCTTGTTCTCTGCAGTTTCTCAAAAGAACAGGTCACCTGCAGTAATGCAATTCCAATGAATATGCCAGCCACTATGGTCAAGTTGTCCTGCAGCCATTTCTCAAACTGTGGGACACAACCTTTTGTGTAAATAACAATCTGTTGATCAACTTCCTGCAAGGAACAACAACAATCATTCAACATTTTTCTAGCACTTCTTTTCTTTCCCATCCCCTCTCCAAAAAGAATTTTTGAAAACTCACTGGTTTTTGTCGGGCATCATAACCACACTGAGTATTAATGACATCTTCCTAAAAATAAAGACACAGAGAAATGTTCCAATAAATGTCTCTTTTTACTCAGCAAAAAGTGTGTCTAATACTAAAACTTCTTCCTACTGGAATGCTATCTGATGACCAACATCTGATGTAGTTTCTGGGATCTGTTGGAGCCACTCTC